GAAGTACTGCAATACCGGGCCAACCCGTGGCCAGGACGGAGCAAGCCCCTATTCCATGGCCTAGGTTCAAAAATCAGTTTAATATACAAGCGACTCGGTGAGTCGCGTTTCAGATATTAAACTGAAAAGAACAGATACTACACATGATCTTAGCCAAAAGGCCGAGAAGCGATAGTTGCATACCGAAGCTGAAGAAGAATATCCAAATCCTACGGACCAGGCGATGCGGTGATCAAAATGTTGCTTTTACAGACTTGACGTAGTCAATTTTGTACGATATCTTGTAAACGGCAAAAGCTTTTGAAAAACTAATACCACACTGCAGAAACGTTACTGTGTGTTCAAACGAATGGGATGAAATAAATCACAGGTTTATTGGTAAAACGAAAGATATTAATCATTAAAGGAGAAAACATTTGCTTCGAATCACCCCTTAATTGTAGGCATGGGTGTTGATCCGTTGCGTCGTGCTATTCATCAGGGGGGTATATGATCTTACTGTTTCGTGCCCCACTGGTGACTGGGGTGGCGCAGCGGTTCGACGCCGGTGCCAAGAGTTGCATTATTATCTATAGTAGTTTATTATTAGTAAGTGCAATTTTACCTTGTAATAATTAATTCTGTAATCCATTGCGCAATTTAGTTTTTAGCTACGAAGCATGGAATTAATGAACATTTATTGTTTACATGTTTGATTTGATTTGAATAAACCATTTATCTATCTATCTATCTTAAGTGACCATGCAACACCAATCATTTTTACCATATTCAAGAATCCGCGTTAGAACGTCACGACCGGATAAACACAGTGAATACTTGTGATGTATCATGACGTCGCGAATCTATTGATTAGATACATCTTTTATTGCACACGGATTCAATCAGTCATAGGGAACATAGTATTAATTCGAAAGTTGTACTGAACGTTTTGTAGACAAGAAAAAATTGAAAGAAAATCGATCAGAATGGTCAGAGAAAGAAAAAGAAAGGGGGAAAAAAAGAAGAGAAAAAAAAAAAAAAAAAAAGAAGAAAAAAAAAAAAAAAAAAAAAAAAAAATCATTTTCCATCAAAATGCTGACGTCATAATATGCAAATTCATATTAGAAAGATATTTGAAAGATAGTCGATCAATATCGTCAGAGATAGAGTGAAAGTAAAAAGTAAAAGAAAAGGAGAGGAAAAGGGTTCTTTCTTTGGTATATTTTAACCCCCTGAGGGGTGGGCCGATCCCGGAAGTACTGCAATACCGGGCCAACCCGTGGCCAGGACGGAGCAAGCCCCTATTCCATGGCCTAGGTTCAAAAATCAGTTTAATATACAAGCGACTCGGTGAGTCGCGTTTCAGATATTAAGCTGAAAAGAACAGATACTTTTCTTTAAGATTTTATTCATATCATGCATTTTCACAGATAATCTCAATATACAATATTTACAATGACATTATATAAATAAAAGAACATATGTACAAAACTGTTCACAAAGTCACTCATATAAAAAGAAATAAACTATATTTTAGTTCTAAACTGAAATATTTACAGACAAACAAAGGTAAACTTAGCATGTTAACTTTTCAAACCCGATAAGTTAAGCTGGATATCTTCTCCCACTACTGAAATAAAACTTTTCCCATTTGTCCAAACTTTATCAAACTTATGTCTTGACCATCTTTTCAGGTCAACGACCAAACGTAAACGAATTTCATCTTTTATTCTTAATAACAAATTATCCTCAGAAACAAAAACTTTCTCAAAAATAAATGAACATCGTCTATTCCATACTGCTTTGAGTGTAACAACAAATAAATACCAAACTCGAGCCCATAAACAGGCATTAATAGTGACTGAGGGTCCATACATAAAACAATCCTTATTAAATAAAACATGCCCACCCAGCATTTCCTTTGCCACCTCAGATACCCAACAAATAATTCTCTTAACAGATCCACATTCCCAAAAAACATGATCAATACTTTCTAATATTAAACAAAAAGGGCATTTGCCATTACTCATACACCATTTGGCAAGTTTTTCGCGTGTGTATAGCGCACCATGTGTTACTTTCCACATAAAAGATTTCAAACGATTACAAAAAACTGAATGATTAACATTTTTCCAAATAAAATCCCATTTCTTTGAAGGATCTCTAACCAACACTTTTGGTATACAGTCAATTTTAAACAAGTTGACAGTATCTTTAACTGTTTTAATGCATACAAATTGTTTATCCTTCCTTACTAAATACAAAATGATTTCCCAAGCTTGTGCGTAAGAGGGAGACAAAACATCACAATGTGGAACCAGGTTGGACCACAAAAAAGGAAACAGGTAACGTAAATTACTTGCCATAAAATAGCGTAAAAACAAGTAATTGCATGAATTATCATCAGTTTGGCTAAGTTGTGGGAACATAGTACGTATGAATAAGACTTTCATTTTAATTCCAAAATTGTCTAACCCAAGACCGCCTTTTTTCTTACTAAGATAGAGTGTATCTCGAGAAACAAGTTCCGTTTTATTTTGCCAAATAAAACTAAAAACAGCTCGTAAAATATCTGCCAGTACTTTTGAACTAGGAACATAAACTTTCGCCGCATAATAAAAAACAGGAAATATACAAGTATTGATAATACCAATTTTTCCATAAATAGTAAGATTACGACTTTCCCAAGACTTTAATTTCTTTTTGGCTTTATTACATAAGTTCTTCCAAAACTGTTGAATTGATTTGTCAGTGCCAAAACAAATTCCATTTATTTTAATTTCATCTTCTGACCAAACAATATCTCCTTTTAATTTCCGTCCTACAAAGTCCCCTAATTTCAAACCAATAGTCTTTTTTAAATTGATAGATGCTCCAGTAGCTTTCTCAAATATGACTAAAGCCTTAAAGAAATTAATCACATCTAGTTGGGAAGTTGCAATACAAGTTGCATCATCTGCATACTGAACCAATTTGACTGACTTTCCACCCCCTCCTGGAATATAAAAACCTCTAATACCTCTATTAGATAAAATATACTGCGCCAGAGGCTCAATAAATAAGACATACAATAAGGGAGACAAAGGACAACCTTGTCTTATCCCTCTCTGAATAATGACTTCATCACTCATTTTACCATTCACTAAAATTGTACTTGTAATACCAGAATATAAAATCTTTATCCAATGAATAAATTTTGGACCAAAATTAAATCTGCTCAAAACTTTCATCAAAAAACCCCAATGAACTTTATCAAAGGCCTTATGCTGGTCAACAGATATAAGGGCACAAGGATTCCCTCTGATGTTGCTATAATCAACTATATCCCGTAATATACACAAATTCGAATGAATTGTTCGACCAGGAACTGAACAGGTCTGGTGAACGTTAATGATATTTCCTAACACCTTGGACAGACGTAATTGTAACACTTTAGAAATAATTTTGTAATCGACTGTTAATAAACTAATAGGTCTCCTATTAGCAGGATCAAGACTATCTCCCTTTTTAGGGAGTAACGTAATAACAGCAGACCTTTGAGTTTTGGTAAGCACTTCTTTACTAAAAACATCATTATACAGTAAAAGCAAATCATTTCCAAGAACATCAAAGAATCGACTGTAAAATTCAACAGGTAATCCATCTATTCCTGGTGTTTTACTTTTTGACATGTATTTTAAACTATTCTTAATTTCATCTATTCCAACAGTTCTATCTAAACCAGCTGATTCATCTGAACTGATTTTAGATTGAATTGAATCCAGAAGCACATCTTGTAATGATGAATCGACATTGTTATCACTAGCATATAAATCACTAAAAAAGTTGTAAAACACATCAGAAATATCATCACCATCTACAATTTGTCCATCTTTGTTTCGAACTTTTTCAATAAACTTATTATTTGCATTTGTTTGTTCTTTGTTATAAAAATAACCTGGCCTCTCTCCATTTTCTAGAAATTTTTCTTTGGACCTAATAAATGCTCCCTTTTCTTCTTCTGCAAGTAATTGTAAAACAATATCTTTATCAAGACTCGTATAGTTGTCTTTAAGATTTTGCATTTTAATTCGTTTTTCTCTAGCCCGTCTTACTCCATGTATAATACTCAATTCTTTTATCCGACTTTTGACATTCTCCCACCACTCTAAAATAGAAGAAAAACCTGGTTTTAACGTTTGCCACATTTCATAATTAAAAATAAATTCCTGTACAAATTCATCATCTTCGCATAATAATACATTAAACTTCCAATATGATTTCAACATTTTTTGCTTTTGATGAATACAAATAACTGAATTTAAAACTTGATGATCTGAAAGGGGAAAATTCAAAACTAACGACTTGATTACTTTGAAATTTTTTTCAACATAAATCCTATCTAAACGAGAGCTTTGTTTTTTGCCCGGATGGAACCAAGTATGGCTAGCTCCGGTTCCAGCCACCAACCAAGAATCTAAAAGCGAACAAGAATTAATAATATCAATTAATTCTTTCCTTCCTACAAAGCAAGTAGTGTTTGCAGTCTCACAAAGTCGATCATTGACGTGCATTACACAATTAAAATCACCCCCGAGAATAAGAGGAACATTTCCTCGTGTTGCAAAATGTAATCCATTGAAAAATGTAACACGTAAACTTGGATTACACGGTGCATATATATTACATATACGAAAACAACAGTCTGGAAAAGAACACAATACAGAGACGACACGCCCTTCCAAATCAGACCTGAGTTGAGAAAAACTACAACGAAGTTTTTCAGAAAAAGCAATTACAACTCCACATGAATGATTAGAACGGGAGGCCGAAAAGAAAACTGGACCTTTCCAAACTGAATTAAACAATTTAAAATCATTGATGCCTAAATATGTTTCTTGAAATAATACAACGTCAAAAGAAAAGATACTTAACCAATTTAAAACATTACGGCATTTAAAAGAATCTCGTAAACCGTGAACATTAACCGAACAAATTGACAAATTAAAAGAGGATAAATTGTGTGGGCGCATGATTAATCAGAGGAGCGCACCAAAATCAAATCATTCCAATAAAAAATATCTATCGAAAAAGTCTATGTTGTGAATGGACACATACTGAGGATGCCGCCCCGCCAAATGATTCAACCACTCCTTAGGAGTATTACACGTAACTTTGCAAGACTTAAGGGGGCATGCGTACCTGCTAATAGTTAGTTCGTTGTGCCGGTCCCTCATATGGCACAGAAAGCTCTCGTACTTCATAAAGTCATGAGTACACTTCTCCGCTTTACACGAAATCCATCTTTGCTTCTCCTTCATAATCTGGGTCTCTGCCACCAGTTCTTTCGCTTCATTGCCTCCGCGGCCATGTGACGATCTGGAGCGTCTCCGGGGTGAAACAGAAGACCGACGCTTCACACCACGCCGCACCGTCTCCCATGATGAGTCGTCCGTATGTACATCCGACATCTGGCTAGGCAAAGAAACCTGACTATCCTGGTCGAGCTTTGATAAGGACCAGTCAAAAATCTCGTCTACTATATATGACGTGCCCGGTTCTTCCGGCACATGCACATCCCGCGATACAGCCCGCTCAGCAGGCACATCAGCTGGCGCTGGCTCTGGCTCTGGCTCTGGCGGTGCAGCTTGCTCAGCAGGAACATCAGCTGGCTCTGGTTCCGGCTCTAGCTCTGGCGGTGCAACTTGCTCAGCAGGCGCATCAACTGGATCTGGCTCCGGCGGTGCAGCCCGCTCAGCAGGCACATCACGTGGCACTTCCAACTCAGGTGGCGTCGCGACACCTCCTCCGCTTACCCACCCGCTGGACTGACGCAATTTTTGAGCAAATGAAATTGGGCATACTTTAAAGGAGTGCCCAGACTCCCCGCAGATCGTACACGTGGGCTGCTCCTTACATCCTGCTGCCACATGCCCTTCCTTCTGGCACTTAAAGCACCGTACAACTTTACACTCCTTCGCCAAATGACCGCCGAAACCACACCTCAAGCATGTACGAGGCTGCCCGTCGTAGCGCACCCAACAGTCCCGGCCGCCAAAGCTCAGAGAAGATGGGACATCCTTATTGAGCTCAACTCTATATTGCCGTACACCATTGAACACACCGGGGTACTCTCGGTACTCAAGCCGCCTTCCAGCCAACACCTTGCCGTAGCGGTTCAGGACAAAACGCACCTTGTTGTCATCCACCTCGTGGGGCACATGTAGCACGGTGACAACCTTGGCAGGACTGGAATATGACGTCACGACGACTCGTTGGTCTGCCTGAAGCACCGGTAGAAACTGCTTCCTCGCCATCTCTGTGGTAAAGGTCACATCTACCCTCCTTCCTGGCAGCCTCTGCACCTCAGCCAGATGATCCCCAGGCGCAACACCAGCCTCCTTCAGCACGTCAAACACCTCGCTCTCCTCTGACATCAACACCACATGGAGACTTCGAAGTCGCTGGAGCTCCATTTAGACTCGATACATAAAAGAATGTACCTAAGTGACCGAAACCGATCCCCTGATCATAAGATCAGTGAGTATCGAGCTGAAAAGAACAGATACTACACATGATCTTAGCCTAAAGGCCGAGAAGCGATAGTTGCATACCGAAGCTGAAGAAGAATATCCAAATCCTACGGACCAGGCGATGCGGTGATCAAAATGTTGCTTTTACAGACTTGACGTAGTCAATTTTGTACGATATCTTGTAAACGGCAAAAGCTTTTGAAAAACTAATACCACACTGCAGAAACGTTACTGTGTGTTCAAACGAATGGGATGAAATAAATCACAGGTTTATTGGTAAAACGAAAGATATTAATCATTAAAGGAGAAAACATTTGCTTCGAATCACCCCTTAAGTGACCATGCAACACCAATCATTTTTACCATATTCAAGAATCCGCGTTAGAACGTCACGACCGGATAAACACAGTGAATACTTGTGATGTATCATGACGTCGCGAATCTATTGATTAGATACATCTTTTATTGCACACAGATTCAATCAGTCATAGGGAACATAGTATTAATTCGAAAGTTGTACTGAACGTTTTGTAGACAAGAAAAAATTGAAAGAAAATCGATCAGAATGGTCAGAGAAAGAAAAAGAAAGGGGGAAAAAAAGAAGAGAAAAAAAAAAGAAAAAAAAAAGAAAAAAAAAAAAAAAAAAAAAAATCATTTTCCATCAAAATGCTGACGTCATAATATGCAAATTCATATTAGAAAGATATTTGAAAGATAGTCGATCAATATCGTCAGAGATAGAGTGAAAGTAAAAAGTAAAAGAAAAGGAGAGGAAAAGGGTTCTTTCTTTGGTATATTTTAACCCCCTGAGGGGTGGGCCGATCCCGGAAGTACTGCAATACCGGGCCAACCCGTGGCCAGGACGGAGCAAGCCCCTATTCCATTGCCTAGGTTCAAAAATCAGTTTAATATACAAGCGACTCGGTGAGTCGCGTTTCAGATATTAAGCTGAAAAGAACAGATACTACACATGATCTTAGCCAAAAGGCCGAGAAGCGATAGTTGCATACCGAAGCTGAAGAAGAATATCCAAATCCTACGGACCAGGCGATGCGGTGATCAAAATGTTGCTTTTACAGACTTGACGTAGTCAATTTTGTACGATATCTTGTAAACGGCAAAAGCTTTTGAAAAACTAATACCACACTGCAGAAACGTTACTGTGTGTTTAAACGAATGGGATGAAATAAATCACAGGTTTATTGGTAAAACGAAAGATATTAATCATTAAAGGAGAAAACATTTGCTTCGAATCACCCCTTAATTGTAGGCATGGGTGTTGATCCGTTGCGTCGTGCTATTCATCAGGGGGGTATATGATCTTACTGTTTCGTGCCCCACTGGTGACTGGGGTGGCGCAGCGGTTCGACGCCGGTGCCAAGAGTTGCATTATTATCTATAGTAGTTTATTATTAGTAAGTGCAATTTTACCTTGTAATAATTAATTCTGTAATCCATTGCGCAATTTAGTTTTTAGCTACGAAGCATGGAATTAATGAACATTTATTGTTTACATGTTTGATTTGATTTGAATAAACCATTTATCTATCTATCTATCTTAAGTGACCATGCAACACCAATCATTTTTACCATATTCAAGAATCCGCGTTAGAACGTCACGACCGGATAAACACAGTGAATACTTGTGATGTATCATGACGTCGCGAATCTATTGATTAGATACATCTTTTATTGCACACGGATTCAATCAGTCATAGGGAACATAGTATTAATTCGAAAGTTGTACTGAACGTTTTGTAGACAAGAAAAAATTGAAAGAAAATCGATCAGAATGGTCAGAGAAAGAAAAAGAAAGGGGGAAAAAAAGAAGAGAAAAAAAAAAAAAAAAAAAAAAAAAAAAAAAATCATTTTCCATCAAAATGCTGACGTCATAATATGCAAATTCATATTAGAAAGATATTTGAAAGATAGTCGATCAATATCGTCAGAGATAGAGTGAAAGTAAAAAGTAAAAGAAAAGGAGAGGAAAAGGGTTCTTTCTTTGGTATATTTTAACCCCCTGAGGGGTGGGCCGATCCCGGAAGTACTGCAATACCGGGCCAACCCGTGGCCAGGACGGAGCAAGCCCCTATTCCATGGCCTAGGTTCAAAAATCAGTTTAATATACAAGCGACTCGGTGAGTCGCGTTTCAGATATTAAGCTGAAAAGAACAAATACTACACATGATCTTAGCCAAAAGGCCGAGAAGCGATAGTTGCATACCGAAGCTGAAGATGAATATCCAAATCCTACGGACCAGGCGATGCGGTGATCAAAATGTTGCTTTTACAGACTTGACGTAGTCAATTTTGTACGATATCTTGTAAACGGCAAAAGCTTTTGAAAAACTAATACCACACTGCAGAAACGTTACTGTGTGTTCAAACGAATGGGATGAAATAAATCACAGGTTTATTGGTAAAACGAAAGATATTAATCATTAAAGGAGAAAACATTTGCTTCGAATCACCCCTTAAGTGACCATGCAACACCAATCATTTTTACCATATTCAAGAATCCGCGTTAGAACGTCACGACCGGATAAACACAGTGAATACTTGTGATGTATCATGACGTCGCGAATCTATTGATTAGATACATCTTTTATTGCACACGGATTCAATCAGTCATAGGGAACATAGTATTAATTCGAAAGTTGTACTGAACGTTTTGTAGACAAGAAAAAATTGAAAGAAAATCGATCAGAATGGTCAGAGAAAGAAAAAGAAAGGGGGAAAAAAAGAAGAGAAAAAAAAAAGAAAAAAAAAAGAAAAAAAAAAAAATCATTTTCCATCAAAATGCTGACGTCATAATATGCAAATTCATATTAGAAAGATATTTGAAAGATAGTCGATCAATATCGTCAGAGATAGAGTGAAAGTAAAAAGTAAAAGAAAAGGAGAGGAAAAGGGTTCTTTCTTTGGTATATTTTAACCCCGTGAGGGGTGGGCCGATCCCGGAAGTACTGCAATACCGGGCCAACCCGTGGCCAGGACGGAGCAAGCCCCTATTCCATGGCATAGGTTCAAAAATCAGTTTAATATACAAGCGACTCGGTGAGTCGCGTTTCAGATATTAAGCTGAAAAGAACAGATACTTTTCTTTAAGATTTTATTCATATCATGCATTTTCACAGATAATCTCAATATACAATATTTACAATGACATTATATAAATAAAAGAACATATGTACAAAACTGTTTACAAAGTCACTCATATAAAAAGAAATATACTATATTTTAGTTGTAAACTGAAATATTTACAGACAAACAAAGGTAAACTTAGCATGTTAACTTTTCAAACCCGGTAAGTTAAGCTGGATATCTTCTCCCACTACTGAAATAAAACTTTTCCCATTTGTCCAAACTTTATCAAACTTATGTCTTGACCATCTTTTTAGGTCAACGGCCAAACGTAAACGAATTTCATCTTTTATTCTTAATAACAAATTATCCTCAGAAACAAAAACTTTCTCAAAAATAAATGAACATCGTCTATTCCATACTGCTTTTAGTGTAACAACAAATAAATACCAAACTCGACCCCATAAACAGGCATTAATAGTGACTGAGGGTCCATACATAAAACAATCCTTATTAAATAAAACATGCCCACCCAGCATTTCCTTTGCCACCTCAGATACCCAACAAATAATTCTCTTAACAGATCCACATTCCCAAAAAACATGATCAATACTTTCTAATATTAAACAAAAAGGGCATTTGCCATTACTCATACACCATTTGGCAAGTTTTTCGCGTGTGTATAGCGCACCATGTGTTACTTTCCACATAAAAGATTTCAAACGATTACAAAAAACTGAATGATTGACATTTTTCCAAATAAAATCCCATTTCTTTGAAGGATCTCTAACCAACACTTTTGGTATACAGTCAATTTTAAACAAGTTGACAGTATCTTTAACTGTTTTAATGCATACAAATTGTTTATCCTTCCTTACTAGATACAAAATGATTTCCCAAGCTTGGGCGTAAGAGGGAGACAAAACATCACAATGTGGAACCAAGTTGGACCACAAAAAAGGAAACAGGTAACGTAAATTACTTGCCATAAAATAGCGTAGAAACAAGTAATTGCATGAATTATCATCAGTTTGGCTAAGTTGTGGGAACATAGTACGTATGAATAAGACTTTCATTTCAATTCCAAAATTGTCTAACCCAAGACCGCCTTTTTTCTTACTAAGATAGAGTGTATCTCGAGAAATAAGTTCCGTTTTATTTTGCCAAATAAAACTAAAAACAGCTCGTAAAATATCTGCCAGTACTTTTGAACTAGGAACATAAACTTTCGCCGCATAATAAAAAACAGGAAATATACAAGTATTGATAATACCAATTTTTCCATAAATAGTAAGATTACGACTTTCCCAAGACTTTAATTTCTTTTTGGCTTTATTACATAAGTTCTTCCAAAACTGTTGAATTGATTTGTCAGTGCCAAAACAAATTCCATTTATTTTAATTTCATCTTCTGACCAAACAATATCTCCTTTTAATTTCCGTCCTACAAAGTCCCCTAATTTCAAACCAATAGTCTTTTTTAAATTGATAGATGCTCCAGTAGCTTTCTCAAATATGACTAAAGCCTTAAAGAAATTAATCACATCTAGTTGGGAAGTTGCAATACAAGTTGCATCATCTGCATACTGAACCAATTTGACTGACTTTCCACCCCCTCCTGGAATATAAAAACCTCTAATACCTCTATTAGATAATATATACTGCGCCAGAGGCTCAATAAATAAGACATACAATAAGGGAGACAAAGGACAACCTTGTCTTATCCCTCTCTGAATAATGACTTCATCACTCATTTTACCATTCACTAAAATTGTACTTGTAATACCAGAATATAAAATCTTTATCCAATGAATAAATTTTGGACCAAAATTAAATCTGCTCAAAACTTTCATCAAAAAACCCCAATGAACTTTATCAAAGGCCTTATGCTGGTCAACAGATATAAGGGCACAAGGGTTCCCTCTGATGTTGCTATAATCAACTATATCCCGTAATATACACAAATTCGAATGAATTGTTCGACCAG